GATGAACTTTACCATCTTCTCATCATCTGCATTTAGGATTCATTTGTGCTGCAAATGACTATAGTATTTCGTGGATATTACATATATCGTAATGTCTGGTGTGCACAAGTGTTTTTTTGAAAAAGAAATGAGAAATGCATCTATCCCATTTTCTTTTCAGGAGACACTTTTTCACCATCAAATATATTGTTTAGCTTTTTCAGAAACAAATATGCTTGTAATTTTGTTGTTTTTATCTGAACTATTTATTGCTTCTTTTCAACTAGCAGATGCTTGTAAAAGAGAGGAGAAGAGCTATTTTTAGAAACACAACCATTGATAAATGAGCTATTTTATTCAATTTTTTAAAAATATTATTAGAAAAAAAACTTTCTGTTCACCTACATATTTAAAACTCCTAACTAAAATAACTTACGTTTCTTAGTATGAAAAAATAGGTATTTTTGGCCCGAAAAACAAAAGGAAAAATAGGTATTTATTTCTTATATAAAAGAAATCAAGGAAATAGTGTTTCTAATATGATAATCAACTGAAAATACAAGAAAACGCTAACGATTCCTAATCTGGATGAGATCAACTCAACTCGTAGTCGCATGAACTCTGTTCCATCGTCAAAATCAGGAGTACTCAACTTTTTCCTTAAAAACGACGGCTTCGAATATGAAGTCTATGGTACTACTGTTAATAATGATCGGCGCCGCGACGTTAAAATGTGGGACGGCGTTTTCAATCCTTCCTCCAAGAACGACGGTGTTAATCCAGAAAATGTTAAGTAAAGGTCAGGATCTGTCTTGCAAATCGAAGGATGACGATCTTGGACAACAAATCATTTAATGTAGAGGAACCTGGAAGTTCAGACTCAGGCCAAACTCTCTATGGGACTCAACGTTGTACCACCGCCAATTCTGGTGGCCGCCGCATAATCCGCCTTACCGCTTCGACATATACCGAGACGGATGAGATTCATGGTGCAAAGTATGTGCTTGGGTCATTTATGATTCGGGACTTCGGGTCCTGGCATTGGCGGCGCTTGCTCTGCTTGGGGTTCTGCACCTCAGTTCACAGCTCCTGCCCAATAATCTGATCTCTCTAATGTAATTAATTAAGCTTATTCCAAAATGACCCCTCTTAATTTCCCTCGTCATCTTTCTTGTTTTCTACTCCTTCCGGTAGTGTATATAAGTTTTAAAGAATCAAGTCAGGTCTAATAAATTAACAGTTAAAATTAGTTTAAAAATAATAAATATTAGTTTCAGAAAATATTTGGGTCTGCCCGTAACTGAAGGCAGAGTGGGGTTTTTAATAAATCTCTTTGAGATCCAACAGGCACCACCAGGATATAAAGATATTCGAGATCATCTTCTCAAATTTTGTATTGATAGTCATCAACAATTCTCTCATTCCTTTCCATTATGGAAAAATCAAGAGATTTTCATAAAACTCCCCTTCAAGAAAAATGAAGACATCAGTCCCACAAAAGCCTCTCATCCAGGAATGAATCCAGAAGATCTCAAGCTCGCTAAAGAGGAATGTGCTGCAAAGGTTCTTCCGTATCTTCCGGACGTATTCTGACTATCACTCCCGCCTATGTCTCATCTAAGGGAGAACCTCCTATTGCTTGGATAGACCAGGAAGCTAAGCCATGTTATGTGTCTCACATAAATGGCCATTTCATTTGGGATCATACACCAGAGGAATGTGATCCTGACTGTGAGTGTGATACACCTTACTGGTGGGAAGCTTCTGACCATAATAAAGTTACTTCTAAGCCAAATGTCAAAGTTCATATTCTTCCAGGAAGATATGAAAAGCCAATTCCTGTTATTGCTTTTATTGATACTGGAGCATGCAGAACCATCATGAATCCTGATATTCTTCCCCCTGAAGCATGGATCCCTTGTGATCAACTTTTCCTTACTGCTGATTCAAAACCCTTCAAGATTGAATGGATCACTCGCAGAAAGATTGGTATTCAATTCTTTCCAGGATGTGTTCTATGGACAATAAATGAAAAAAATAATAAAAAAGAATATATGAGAGTAATATTAATAAGGAGGAGGGAATACCAAATATAGTCAATTAAGAGTAAAATAGAAAAAAAAAAAAGAAGAGAAAAGTAATAAAAACACAAACAAATTCAAAAATAAAACTTATATTTTAGATCTAACGCTTCTCCAAAAATAAAGCTTATATATAACATGGGGGAGTATCATGTATCAAATGAGAGGTATTATTGAAAGTTTATTTTTCTTCTAAAGAAGATTACAACTGGCTTTAACTGAATTCATTGATTATCTGCAATTCTACCGAAAAAATGTCTCATAAATTCAGACGGACAGAGTAAACATAAAACACGATGCTACTACTATACATCTATTTTTAGGTTCTGAAGAGTCAACTCATTTATTAAACATTATGCAATGCAGAGAAATTGAGTGCTTAATGTTAATGCAACAATAATACAATGAACCAGAACAATGAAAACAAACACAATAAATATTGTTAATGAGGGCCAAATTACAATGCCAATGCAAGATATTAATAGCATTAACCACATGCCAAAAGTATTAATGTTAGTGTTACTCCAATTAAATGTGAGATCTTTATAATTAATGTTACTCTCTCTCTCTCTCTGTCTCTCTTTTTGTCCCCCTTGATCTTTTTATACTTCTCTAGTCCAATTTATAACTCATTTCCAACATATTTCATATAGGTTAAGGAGGATCTTAAATTTCATCAACTCTCATTTAAAATTCAATAACTTTTCAACTTTATTCCTATTTAATATATATTATACCTCATGTAAATAAAATCAATATAATAATAAATGAAGGGTAAAATTATATATCCATGCAAAAAGTTTTTCTCAGTGCTTCATAAATAGGACAAAAAATGTCTCATTTCTTTGCCCTATAAATAGAATCAGAAGAGTGAATTATATCTAATTACTTTATTAGAATTTATTAGAACTAAGGAGAGATGATTGACTCATTAACTTTACTTGAAGATTTTTTTTTCAACTTTATTGCTGTTTAGGAGTATTTAAAGAGCTAGAGACACTGTGGTAGATTTAAAGTCTCTTCCTAATAAATTGTAATAAGAGAAATATTTATAAAAAACAACTCATCCCAAACGATTCATATATAAAATAATCGTTTTGTTTCGAAAGGCTCCCTATGTTCGAAGAACCAATAGAGTTAATAGCGTACCAAGATGATTATTATTGTCACAAATCACGATGAATACAGATCAGTATAATTAAATATAATTAGTCAACTCTCAGCTCATAGTCTATAATTAGAGAAGGCTGTGAGGCATGTCAAAATGTTGCAGAGTCTAAGGAAAACAACTGTTAAGATCAGAATGTCTCCGTCCATGAAATATCTTATTGTTCTGCAGCTAACAATATCTGTTGCAGTATTGATGAAGGGTGGGAATGCGTCTTTATTTCCCAAAAGAACAGCAGTTCAAATCATCAATAGCCTATCGAATCACCAGAAATTGACTCTTCATTGCAAAGCCAAGGATCAAGACATTCCAGAGCAAGTTCTGGAGGCGGGAGCAATGTTCGAGTTCAAATTCTTTAAAGACCCGTTTCTGAATGATACTCTGTATTTCTGCAATTTCAGGTGGCCAGCAGATACTTCGTATCACTACTTCGACATATACGTGGAGGAACGGGACAATTGGTGCAATCCTTGTACTTGGAACATAAAAGAACCAGGTCCCTGTCAAAACAAGTGCTTTCCTTGGAATCCTCCTAAATCGCAATAATCAACAGTTGCTCCTTATGTATTGGCGTTGCCATATCTAATGGACGAATGTATCAACTTCTCTATATATATGATATTTGTTTGAGATGACATTAGAATAATGTGCCTGGCTTCTTCAAGTGTCGAATCGAATTGTTGGCTAAAACGCTCGTTTAATATGTTATGAGTAAGTGTGTATTGTGATGTTTGAAGCGAAGGGATTGATCTGGGTTCATTCCTACACGGAACAATCTAAATGAATCAGCAATACACGCTTAGCAGTTTGAAGCATTGCTGAGAAAAAAAATTAACAAATAAGCATTAATTACTTTTTAAGTGATTTATATTTTAAACGAAGTCATTCTTCTAGGAGAAACTTATATTATGGACTGGAGGAAGTATAAGCCATGTCCAATCAATTCATGTGAACTGATAAAACAGATAAAAATATTAAATTTTTCGTAAACTTCAAGTGATTTTCAAATATTACTCCTACTAACTACACTAAACTCTTAATATTATATTATCCCATATCCTTATCATAAGGCACCTTCTATAAAAAAAAAAAGTCTTATTAAAAATTATTAAATGAGGTATTAATTACACCTTTTCAAGGTCACCCCTTCCTATTTCAAATCTCATTTATTGCAACATGTTTAATTTATTGAATACTCCCCTGGTCATATTTATAAGACAGAGAAAGAAAATATTTTTTTTGAGTCTATTTATAGGGTATTGAGAGAAATTTTTTTATATAGATATATAATTTTATCTTTTATTTATTATTGTGTTGACTTTGTTTACGTGAGGTGTAATATATATTAAATAGAGATAAAATTAGAAAATTATTAAATTTTAAATGAGAGCTAATGAAATTTAAGATTTTTCTTAGTCTGCATGAAACATACTAGAAGTAACTTATAAATAGGACTAGACAAGTATGATTCATGGTATTAAATATGGGTAAATTTGATATTTTAATTTTTAGACAAAGTCAATAACTTAATCACCTTTCTACTCTTCCTCAATCCTCATTGCCTTTAGTAAATATATGCATATATGGGAAAAAGAAAGTATTTAATACTCCTAAAAGTTAAATCTAATTAAATTTCTTTTTACAAAAATCAAAAGCACCTTCCAAAAAATGCCCTATATATGGAACTGGAGGGACCAAGTAATGTACATCGGAGGAGATCATTTCAATTCATGTTAGGTTATACTGCATAAGAAGGAGAGGGAGGAAACAAGATGGCTCCATATATGAAGTCTCTGCTTCTGGTGGCAGCAATAGTAGTTGCAATGTCTGAAGGTGGGGAGGCGTGGAAGATAAGATTTGCTCCCCTAACGGTGCAGATCCAGAATGGTTTGTCTCAAAATCAGGACTTGACGCTTCATTGCAAATCCAAGGACGATGATCTGGGAGAACACACCCTACAAAACAAGGCAACCTACGAGTTCAAATTTTGGCCCAGGTTTTTTGTTCGTACGACGCTGTTTTTCTGCAGCTTTCGGTGGCCATCAGATACTTCGCTTCACTACTTCGACATATACGTAGAGGACCGAGACTGGGGGTGTGATCCTTGTACTTGGAACATAGAAGAATCTGGTCCTTGTCAAAATAAGTGCTTTCCTTGGAATTCCCCAAGTCCTAAATCACAATAATCAACAGTTAGTGGCTCCTATGCATTGGCGTTGCCATATATGCCAACTTCTCTCTAAATATATATGATATTTGTTTGAGAAGAAATTAGAAAATAAACGTACCTGGCTTCAAGTATTGAATCGAATTGTTGGCAAAAACGCTCGTCAAATGTGCATTAACAAGTGTATGTTGAGATATTTGAGGCGAAGAGATTGATTATCTGGGTTAGTTCATAGCACATGAAACCATCTAAATGAAGCGGTGACACGGGCCACGCAGTTTGAAGCAAAAACGAAGCATTAATAACGGAGTAAAGCACGAATGCAAATGAGGACGATTCTTTAAATGCAATAACTGCAAAGTAGTAATAGTACAAGTGCAAGATGTTATTAACACTGCACTGATAAATGTTAAAGAATAATGTATTCCCACGGTATGTTTTTATCTCAATTTAAAATCACTTATAAGTAACTTTTTAATAATTATTTATAAAATATGAGATAAGTACGTGAAAGTAATTTTATTTCAAATTACATGAAACGTGTTTCTAAGTGATTTGATTCGTGATTATTAATGGAAACAACTGCCATCTTTATATCTCTCCCTATTTATTATAAGAAACAATTTCGAGACATGTCAATTTTTTTAATTAGTTTCCTATTTTACTCTCATTAATTAATTATATTTTTAATATTCAATATATTTCTTATCTCATTTTTCGAAGTATTATTGATGTTAGGGGGAAAAAAAAGAACAACACTACTAAACCCTTAACATCATACTAGTTCTTCCGGTCCTTATCACAAGTCACCAAATGAGATATTAATTACATTTTTTTTTAAAAAACCTGCTCTATTTAAAACCTTATTAATTGCAACATCTATGATTAATTGAATGAATTAATTAATTTGAAAGCTTATTTTATTTTCAGGCAGAGTTAATTAATAACCTGGCAAACTTTTATTGGCTTTGATGAGCTAGTCAGAGATGCCGAAAAATAATAGGAATGGACGGAGTAACCCCCCCTTTTTTTTAAACTATCCCTGTTAAATATAAGTGCATATATGGAAAAAAAAATATTTAGCACTCTTTAATACTAATACTATCAAATAATTTATTTAAAAAAGAATCAACAACACCTTCCAAAAGAATGTCCAGTATATATAGGATTGAAGGGAGTGACTAACGCAGATTGGACAAGATAAATTCAGCTCATGGGAGGAAACAAAATGGCTCCTCCGTCTATGAAGTCTTTGCTTCTGGTGCTAGCAATGGTTGTAATGGTGGGAGGCGGAAAGGCATGGATTATAAAAGCTCCAAAAGTAACAGTGAAAATCCAGAATGGGCTGTCTCAAAATCAGGACTTGACGCTTCATTGCAAATCCAAGGACGATGATCTCGGAGAACACACCCTACAAAATAAAGCAAGTTACAAGTTCAGTTTGAGGCCCAGGTTTTTTATTCACTCGACACTGTTTTTCTGCAGCTTCTGGTGGCCTTCAAACACTTCGCTTCACTACTTCGACATATACGTAGAGGACCGAGACTGGTGGTGCAATCTCTGTGCTTGGACTATATCCGAATCAGGAGCTTGTATCTACGATGAACTCACTCGCCAAACTGATTGCTATCCTTGGAATTCTGCCTAATAACAATATCCTCATCCACACCAAATTATCAATATATATTACCCTAAGCTCATCTTTAATTGTTGAAGCAATAGATCCTTAATTTCTTCCCCCAGGTTGTGACTTCTATTGACTTTGAATTAATTTTTTGAAAGTAATTTTATGAAATCAGTTTTGGTATTTATCACTTTAATGAGTATCTTAAATTCATGAGATGTGAGGCGTCCGTATTTTATTTGGATAATCTGGATTTGATTTTTTTATTTTTTATTTAAAATAATTATTTTAACATATATAGAATATAAAATAGAAATAATCTTTTAAGTATCATTCTTTTAAAAATAGTTTTTATTTAAAAATAACTAATTAAAAAATTTAAATCTAAACCATTCAGATTATATATAAATGGTTCAAATATAATGAGTTTAAAATGCTCATTAAAATGATGAGCAGTGAAATTGGTTTCGTAATTTTATAATGTTTAAGATAACATGTGAGAGGAGTTTTATCTAGACGTGTATAAAAATACTCTTTTTTGGATGCTTTTACTACTTATCAAACACCCCTTATCTTTGATTAAAATTGATTAAAGACAGATAAAATATAAGTTTCAAAAAAAATTATAGAAAAAAAACGAGTAAGAAAAAGAGATGTAAGAAATTTGTATATTTTATAAAATATATAAAATGGAAGGCAGAGCACGGGGCTTTTGATACAAACGACATCGTTGGCGGGCTCCACCATTAGGTCTTTTGTGCAGTGCTTCTGGCCTTCGGGAGGGACAACGAGGCGCGAGCCATGGCGATGGCTGAAGAGAAGGCGGGTAAGGAAGGTTTTGAGCTGCTGGGCTCGCCGACCTTCAATGAGCTGGAGAATGGTCGCTTCAGATGCGTTGAAACTGGACATGAACTGTTCGCCAAGGACATGGACTCCTACTCTCACAGCAAAAAGTGCCGATTAGGTCTCATTGACTTTGCGTTGTCCCATAATAAGCCCCCTTGCAATATGTTCAAGCAAGACCCACTCTCCCGGTAAATTCCCTTCTTGTTTTTTTGTATAAGAATTCATTGCCATCATGGGTTTCCATGGACTTAGCTATCATATGTTAACTTCCAGGCGGTTTTGGTTGAAACCACACTCTCCCTTGGTCTGTGTGTGCTATCTTTGGAAATCAATGGAATAGAACTCTTCAGGATTTCATTTATTCTTTTCTTTCACCTTCAATAAGGTCTGTGTAAACGCACTAAGGGGATATGCCCAAGCTTGACTATAGAACTCGTTCCTGGTCCTTGTAAGGGAGAAAACTCACATTTTTATCGTCCTTTTAGCTGCCCAAAAGGAACAATGAATTACAGCTTACCGAAAGAACTGGCTCGGTTTGCCTCAACTCCATCAGATCCTAACATGTTAATCTTCGTTCTCACCTCTCTATCATCATTTAGTCCATTTTATTTTCTATCACGCCATTCTAAACCATTCCCATCCTTTCCAACAATTAAACGGGCTATAAACTGTTTCCTTTTTATAACTTTGAAAAAACCGGTCGCTTATCTAAACCGCCATATCTTTGAAGGTCAGAAGTGGAAACTATTCGCGAGGAAGACCGATAGCGTTTCCAATCCTCAGATGGAGAGTCGAGCTATCGACTAGGATATAATTTTATTTATTTTATTATGTGTCCGTTTGTTCCTTGGATTATTTATCAATGTCAGACTGGCATAACATAGGCATAGGTTCCGCATTGCAGTTCAAAGTTGATATGTAAATTGACTGGAGACACCGTCAACAAGTCAGAGGAACATATCTGGAAGCATATGAATGGGAAAAGATTTCTCAATAAACTAGGTCTGTCATATACCCCTCACTGTTTTAGGTCTTTTGGAATCATGAAAAATTCCAAATAATTTAGTGAGGTTCTGGTTTCTCAGTATTACTCATGGGTTAATATGTGAGTGCATGAGAAATTTGTAGATATTTATCAACTAATGTATTTGGCTTATAAAAGCAGAGCAAAAGGAAGCGGAGAAGTTGTCATGTGATGGAATGGAAGAAGAAGAGAGCAAACCAAGGCCACTAAGTGCAGATGGTGGGAAGACGGATAAGAAAAAGAAGAAGAAGAAGGAGGACAAGGACATTGAAGATATCAAACCTGAAGTACGGAAGTCTTCTAATGAGGACAGTGACTCTGAAGAGGCAGAATTCTGGATGCCTCCTGTTGGAGATCGCTGGGACTTTGATGATGGAAGAGATCGGTGGGGTTCAGGAACAGAGTCGGAGCAGGAAAGTGAAGAGGCCAATGAAATCGGTATGTTTTCCGCTCCTGCTCATTTCAATTGATTTATTATCAAGTTCCATTGGCTGTTTTGTCAAGGTCATACAAAGTGTTGACATGGCAGAAAATTAGTTTTATATTGGTTTATGATATGAACAAGATAATATGGTCGAGAATGAAAGCTTCCAAATAAATGAAATAATTGATATTGGGAATGAGGGGAAACTAAGATATGCAGAGACTGAATTACCAATAAGTAGTTGTATGATGGAACATATACAATATAAAGATTCAGTTAGATGCACTATCTTATCTTGTCTGCTTTTGGGGGGGGGGGGGGGGGATCTTATTTTGTGATAACACATAAGTGGATTATCTTGTCAATAGATCACGTGAAGTGACTACGTTTTGTTCCGATGGATAGATCAGCTTTTAAGTCAGTCAAGCTCAAGCATTACTTTGGTTTCTCTTATGTTTTTCGTTGAGCTCATACAAAAACTAAATTAGTAATTGGGCTAATGATAGTATCGCAAATGTTGCTGCAGATGGGAATTCCAAGGATTCGGAAGAGCTATCTTCTCGGTATGCTGTGTTATCATGCAGTGGATGAATTACATTTAAGACTATTCTTTGTTAAATTTGTCGTTCAAAGTATCTGTTGGACTTAGCTTTTCCCTTTACATTGCAGGACAAAAAGAATGTCTATAGAAATAGGACCCAGTAGCTTTGCCTCAAGGAAGAAGAAAAGTAAGAAGGACCTCCAAAGCTAGTATCGGCTGGTAATATCAGTTTTGTGGCTGTGCTGTATAGCATGGAAGATGTAGGACTGGGCTGACAGTCCATAAACTAAATTATGTCAATGGAGGTTATAAGCTTGAACGAATAGAAAGTAACGGTTTTCAAGTGAAGCATATTCAAGATTGAAGGCTATACATTATGTTCTGTAAGATAAATGACTCTTAACATTTTTGTTGGTTGCAGCTGCTTCGTTGCTATAGTTGCCGCTCTTTTATTCTTTGCTTCTTTGGGACTGGTAGCAAGTTTCACCGTTCATGTTTTAGTCATTTCAGAATTTAATTCATGATTTCATCTGCTACAGCCTAATAGTCATGGATCTTCATTTGATGTCTTGCTTGCGATATTCGTGTAAAGCCTTGTAACTTGCCAAAGTGAAGCACCATGTATTAATTAATAGACGATCTCATTTTCGACCGCTTTGATCTACAGAGAGACCCCGGATCGTTGAAGCAAAACGAGGGGAGAATCTTAAGGAGTGCAGACTAGAGCAAGCCAATAATAGTATAGTCATTTAAATTTTATTTGACACCGCATAATTTTGCGTGGGTTGGTGGGGAAAAAATGCTTTTTGTCATGGCAAGATGTAATTTTGTAGAAGGTTTGAAAACCGTTTTATAAGCTCTCACTCTCAGTGTCTCTGTGGAAATTCTGAAATGGGCCATTTAATGTGAGATTTTTCCTTACGCTGGTGCTAGAAATATTAATGCGAACAGAGATCTTTCAAGAATCAGATTAACCAACTAGGCCGTGATGCTCTGTCTGGGTCATGTTGCTTGGCACGAGTTTGGGCCGGGGGAAACATGAACCAGAATACCAGAATGACACCATTGCAATCAAAAGGGGGAAATCATGCAACCCGAAAAGAGAACAGAAACGGGACTAGTATTTTTAGCTGTGGGTTTTCGTTTTCTATGATCACTTTCGGCAGTTATCATGTTATGAAGCGATCGAAATCCACTACCACTCCCGATTTTATTAATGTTCGTATGCTACACAGTCACACATGTCGCAGTAAGAGTGATGGATGAAAAAGGAAAATGCGATGATGGCGAGAGAGACGGAAGCTACATCTCTAAGTTTCGTACTTGTCAGAGTACATTTCTGTCAAGTCTGTACCACCCACCATCCCCTCCCCATCACATTACCTACTGTCCTCCCCCTGTTTTGCCTTCCCAGGCAACCATTTCCAGTTTACAACTACCACCCCAAAATAAATAAATAAACAACTACTTGCCCGAGATTACGCTCTTTTCTCCCAATTTAATGGCGTCCGTTTGTTTCATCAATCTATAGTAGATATGGATCTTGTTTATTGAACAAAAGATGATTCTGTTCTTGCTGCCGATTATTATAATTTTGATTATCATAATGGTGAGGCGTGCACTCTACTAGTGGGGCGACCTTCTTCGTGTTGTGCGGAGAGTGGAGACCTCAACAACCCCATCTCTCTTATCTGAAGCTTGATTTCCGCTCATGTCCCTTTCCCTTAATCATTTTGTTATTAAAATAATTACTCATAAGTCCATATAATATCTCTCTCTAATTAATTTTCTTATCTGAATCTATGAATGATTTTCACGTTATTATTTCCGTCATCCTTTCCTATATCTCTCATTCCCCAAATTCTCGAAGCTGGTATCATTATTTGTTGTTATAAAAAATTTAGTTGATTTGGTTCTCAAGATTCACTACGGTCAGAACCTTAACATTATATAAACTGCTTGCCGAATCACAGCATCATGCCCATCTGTGACGTCGTCGTCTTAAAAGATAATATAATTAGCGTAGCAAATCATGTGATGGTCCTAAAATATGGATGGAGGAAGAAAGGTGCGCGAAACAAAGGGAAGGAGAAGGAGGATTTCCTTCTAAATCCAATTAAATGCTAACTAAAGTAAGGAGACATGCTGAATAAAGCGTGTGGTTTATGGACTGACATTTGAATTTTTAATAAAAATTTGCATTTTTAATTCGTGGCAAACAACAAAATTAAAAAAAAAAAACCTTCAATTGCATTTTATTTAAGTTATTCGACTTTAAATTTCGGGACCACTATCATCACAGATAGAAGTTTTCAAATCATTTCAGTAAAGATTCAATCTCGCGTGATACGCAAATTAATTGAAAAACTTTGAACAAAGAAGAAAACTCCGGCTCATATGGGACAGTCCTTGTAATTATACTCCTACGGAAACCTGAAATTCCTACGGGTTAATGTGTTCATATGTGGACAACCTAGAAGCTTGTGTAACATTATTATTATATTCATCACTTCGATCAGTTCAACGTTTGTGGTCTAACCCTCAAGAAATTAATCACCATTATTAAAATCTTGTCGGTATCACGATAAATTTTTGCCAATGTTGTCGACTAAGCTTGTTGACACCCTGAAAATAAATTAACTTGTTTTTATAAAATTCTGACACCAAAGAATTGTATTCCTGCTTATATTTCAGAAAGGCTGAACATATTATCATAATTGTAAATTTGTAATATAAGAAATGCAGAACGGGATCTACCATCATGAGATTGTGCATTTAATAAGGAATATTCAGAAAAAAGAAAGAGGGACCCAATCAAAAGATAGCGAAGGGAGCTTCATTTTGTCAGGACATCACATTTTGTTTAGTTGTTCCTCATGAAATTAACAGGCAAGCAGGCCAGATCTTTCATTTCTTCCAATTTTAGATTCCTCTACTACTTCTATTCACCCTCATGTGATTATTAGCCGTTGGGTACACGAATACGTGATCACTCTAATTCTGCAAAACCATCCAATATTTTATATATAATATAAACACACGCACACATATATATAGGAAGCCTGTTGGAGAATAGGTTAGGCCTGTGAGCAGAACATAATGGATGTGACTGGTGGGATCATAGTGTTTTGGTTTGTGATGAGTGGTGTGAAGTCGGAAGAAATGGATTCTCTGCCATCTTGTGATTTCCCAGCAATCTTCAACTTTGGTGACTCTAATTCAGATACAGGTTGCATGGCCGCTGCTTTCTATCCCATGGCTTCCCCTTCTGGTGAGACCTTCTTCCATGAGCCTGCTGCTGGTCGAGCCTCTGATGGTCGCCTGATTATCGACTTCATCGGTATTTCTACAATACTAGTCTGTTTCTTCATCAATTCATATCTTTTACAGATACAAATCAATTATATGTATAGTATAGTATATAATACAATCGTATTCTTTTGAATCAGTTTCTCTTCTGTAATACAACTGTATAAGGTTTGGTTTGGCTTCCTTACTTCGTTTTGTAACTTGTCTCAAATGAGAGTTGTTTTATATATGAATGCAGCAAAGCAGCTTGGCTTTCCTCTGTTGAGTGCTTACGTTGACTCGATTGGAACAAGCTATGGGCATGGAGCGAATTTTGCAGCAGGATCATCAACAATTAGGAGGCAAAATAGAACCTTCTTTGATGGAGGCACCCCATTCACTCTTGAGATTCAGACTGCACAGTTTCATCAGTTCAAGGCACGCACCGCCAAGTTCTTCAATCAAACTGGTTGGTTCTTCTGGTATATATACCTATGCAACAACGCCTTTTTATATTCTGTTAAAACTGAGTTTGTCTATGATTTGCAGGAAATAATCCTGCCTGCAGAAGGCAGTATCCAAAACCAGAGGACTTTCCTAAGGCTATTTACACACCATGGATATTGGCCAAAATGATATTGCTGCTGCTATTAACAGAGCGGGCCAAGAGGATTCTCATGCTGTAATCTCTGATATTGTACAGCAATTTGCTACTCAAGTTCAAGTAAGTTATGCGTACAAGAAGAGTTAACCCTTTTCTTCTCATTTACACGTTTAAAAGCTTACTTTTTTTTC